ATAAAAGGAAGATTTGCATTTTGTGTAGCTGCTTCCCTTTGGATCAAGGTTGGGAAGTAATACAGGCCAGATACAATGAAAGCCTGAACTGGGGCAGTGTAATAGGTATAGAGTGAGGAGACAAATTTGAAAGATATTTAGGACATATAATTGCTACAATTTGATGATGTTGGTCTAATCAATTTCTATTCCCTTTTTTGTTGTTTGACCAAGTCTGGGTTATGGCCCTTTCCCTGGTGCTCACAGCTTCCTGTGTCATCCATTGCCTCACTTAGCACATGATGAAACTGTGAATATTATCAACCTTGTGCTGTCAGTGCTGTACTCCAGTTTTCTAACTTGGGTAACTAACTGTATAGTTTCTACTGTTAAAAAGAAACAACAAACCCCAAATGCAGTCACTTTGGTAAGCACCACCAAGATTTAATACAGGCACACCTTGTTTATTGTGCTTTGCTTTATTGTGCTTCACAGATGTGCTTTTTACAAATGGAAGGCAAGACTCTGCTTAATTGTTTCCAGTAGTGACAGGCAGCCCGGACCCATTGTCTGGCTTCACTACCAGTTAGTTAGCCTTCTATAATCTTTCCCATCTCAGCAAATGGCAACTTCACCCTTCCAGAAATTTTAGAGGCAACCTTAACTTCTCTTTCTCTTACATCCCCACCCAGTCCTTCCACAAATCCTGTCACCTGTGCCTTCAAAATATATATGGAATGCAACCACTGTGTAGTTACTGTTACCACCCTCATCTTTCACCTGGATTATTGCAAAAGCTTCCTAACTGGTCTCCCTGTTTTCACCCTTGCCTCTTACTAAAGAGAAAACCACAGGCCCAAAATGGTGTCACTCTTGCTAAAAGCCTATGATACCAAACCTAGATTTACTACCTGATCTAACTGCAGTTTCACTGTCTCCCACAAACATAATTTTCTGGTCAGTACCAATGAGGTAATCTGTCAAGTGGGCTCTCCACCCCCCACCCCCCACCACCATAGAAAGGAGAGGCAACCTGCTTGATAAAAACCCTTCCTATCCCCCCCCCAAAAAAGATGTCTCCATCCAAAAATAATCATTTCTTTTCTTTTGTTAATAGCTCCCTTATCCCACCCTTCTTCCTATTAAAAACCTCCCATTGCTAGATGGGATGCTGCCAATTAAAGCTTCAGATTTACTCAGTTGGAATTTTTTGTTTTTTAACACCCTTTATAGCTGTTTTATAGATGGACAGCTCTCTGTTCAAAAGCCTCCCCACACTTCCCATCTTATTCAGAACAAATGACAAAGGCTCTCCCCTCTACACCTCCCCTCCCCAGACCTTTTTCCTACTGCTCTCTCTTCCCCCAGCTGGTCATGCGAGGCTGCCTTCTTCCTCCCTGTTCCGTAACTACCCAAGAGCCTCTAGCCACAGGGCTTTCGAGGCTGCTGTTTGCTTTGCCTGGAACACTTCTGCACAGCCACATAGCTCGCTCTTTCACCTAATAAGTTTCACCAGCAGGGTGGGGACCCTAAGGAGAAGGAACAACTTAGATATAAGGAGAGTCAGAAGAATTGATTGTCTCAGAAGCTTAGGGAGGAGAGGAAAGTTTCAAGAAGATGGGAATGGCCAGCAATGTTAAATGCTCTATTTTCTTTCCCATACTTTGGCTCCCTTCACAATAAAATTATTGAAAGAATTATCTACCCCAAGCACCATCCAATAGAAATATGTTGTGAGCCACAGAAGTAAATTTAAATTTTCTAGTAGCCACATTTTAAAAAGTAAAAAGAAACAGGTGAAATTTATTTTAATAATATATTTAACCCAATATATTCAAAAGCTGGCCATTTCTACATGAAATCAGTATTTTTAATATGTTAATGAAGATTCTACCTTCTTGGGGGGGAAGCGGAGGGGGGAAGGTGTAAGAGGGCATAGAGGGAATAAATGGTGATGGAAAAAATTAAATAAAATGAAATTTTTAAAAATTCTACCTTTTTTCACACTACATTTTGGAAATCTGGTGTGCATTTTACATTTACAGCTCATCCCAATTCAAACTCACCACATTCAAGTGCTCAGTAGAAGACAGGAGAGTGGCTCCAGTAGAAGACAGTACAGGCCTGACTCTGGACTTCATCTCCTAGCCACTGTTAACCAACTCCAACCTGGCTCATGACCCTATGGCTCCTCTACAGCTGCTTTATCTAGGTTCCCATGATTTTTATGTTACCAAACCCAGAGATCTCTCGTCCTCAGCCCTCTGCAGTTACCAACACAGGTGACCTTTTGCCATCTTGAAATGTCCTTCCCCTTGTTTCTGGTTTCCACGTCCCTCAGTGGTCGCTCCTCCTCAGCCTTTGCCACCTCCTCCCCTTCTAGTGGGCTTCTCAATGCTGGTGTAAAAGAAAAACTCATTCCTACGTGCCGCCTCTATTCTCCGTGCTCCACTACAGCACTGCTGCACTTACAACACCCAGATGTGTGAGGTGTCCACCCATCAAGCAATTCTGTGATACCACCTGGGTGTCCTACAGGTAACTCAGTTCTGACATTATCTACCTGTGTTATAGCTTAGTAAAATCTAGGAAAATTCCAGGACAGGACAAGGGAGAGGGGAACTAAGGCGGATCGTTAAACAGCAGCTTGTGGCCACCTATTAGATCCGATCTTCCCTAAACCAAGGACACTTAAGGGTAAATGGTTTGCATTTCTCCTCCCCAGCCAGAGGGTAAATAGCTCAAAACACCCTATTCTTGGAGACAGCAGAAATCCAATTAGTGCCACTTGCCAACCACAACCAAGGACAAGTGATGCTAAGAGAATACACCTTGTTTTGGTGCATCAGTATAAAGCTGATGAATACTCTATTGATCTTCCCCAAGGCCTCACCTAAACACCCAGCCTTTAAAACCTCTGAACAGGACTTTTGCAGGGGTGCGCTCTCTCCCCCCCCAGGGGAGCACGCCACCGCCATTTCCTTCTCCCCGCCAAGGGGATCCCAGGAGACCTGCAACCCGGGGAGCAATGGGCAGCGGCAGCTCGTCCCGGGCTGACCCCCTGAACCTGTCTCCAAGGCCCCCTTTTCTCTGACTTCCCAGTGAGCCAGAGCAGCCCCGCCTCGGCCCTCCTGTCGCTCCTTCTGTGCCCTTCCTTGTTTCACCATCCCAAGTTTATTTTTGCTGCGCCCAATAAATTCTTGCTTTCTTTTCTACACTTTGTCTTTTTTTTTTTTTTTAATGTATCTTTATTGATTTCAGAGAGAGGAAGGGAGAGGGAGAGAGAGATAGAAACAACCATGATGAGAGAGTCATTGATCGGCTGCCTCCTGCAATCCCCCGACTGGGGATCAAGCCCACAACCTGGGCATGTGCCCTGACAGGGAATCGAACCCCGATCACCTGGATCCTAGGTCGATGCTCAACCGCTGAGCCACGCCCAGCCGGACTCTACACTTTGTCTCTTGATTGAAATCTTTCCCTCAAGGAGAAAAGAGGTCTCATCGTCTCCCTGGTGACACCTGGAGATAGCATCAGATCACAGGTTAAGGATTCAGTCCTATAAGACTGCACACAAGCACACTCCTTAGACATCAGCTGCAAGTACAGGTTGTCACCTGTGCTTTTGCCCAACTAGCTATAAATTGGAGGTTCCATCGAACCCCCACCCCAGTTGGGTTAAATGAACTTGCTAGAGTGGCTCACAGAACCTGCAGCCTCGGTGTATTGGGACAATGCTCTAACCAGCTGAGCTACCCAGCCAGGGGCTTAGTTTTTCAGCTGCGCGCTCTCTTATCACTTATGTGACAACAACTGTATGATCTTTTGTACAACAGGACTAGAAAGATAACTCGGTCTTTCTTCCAACATGATTCATCAGAATTAGTTTTTATTAGTTATTGTTCAGATTTCTTGGGCTTTGCAATCCATTATTGGAAAGGTTGTTTATACTCTTGAGGGCTGTTGTGAAACTTGCGATAACCTCTGTCACATTTCTTATTTACATGAACAGTAAGAGCTGGAAGGATTTTCCAGACTAGCTCTGGCTTCATACATTTCAAACCTATTTCTCCTCCAGTACCCTCACACTACAGGGGCCAGGAAAATAATGATTTCTATTCTGCACCTTCATATCACAACATTGGGAGGGCAGCACCGTGGGCATCGGGAGTATTCCTGGAAGGGACACCTGCCCCGTGCCAGACCCTGCTATGACCTAGGGGTTCAGAGATGGACAAGACAGTCATGGAGTGCAATTTTAGTGGGACCAACACACAATGTATACAAGATATAAACAAAATCATTCCACTGAGTGCTGATAAGTTTGGGGAGATGTGATTGAGTGACAGGGAGAGAGAGTGCTAATGCAGATTGAGAGGTGCTCAGGAAAGTGTGGTCTGAGGAGGTGACATGTGACCTGAGACCTAAATGACCTGAAGAAGCCAGCCATGGAATGCTATGGGACAAGAGCACTCCAAGTGGAGGGAACTGTGAGCGCAAAGGCTCTGAGGCAGGAATACTTTGTAGGAGAGCCGACTCTGGGTCTGGTGCTCCGTCACCACTTGCTGCCTCTCTGGGCCCTCAGAGGTTCCTTTGGTGTCCCGGGCCTCTCTGAAGCTCCATCCCCACAGTGCTGACTTATTCAGGAGGGCAGCAGCATTCTGGGGCCGTGGGTCTCCTTCCCAGAAGCCCTGTGGCTGACCAGGATCTGAGTTTCCTGGTTCCTGTCTGGCAGGGATGAGCAGACATCCTCCCCGCCTTCTCTCCCCAGGCTCCAGCCCCAGCCCCAAATCTCCATGACAACCCTAGACACAATCCTGATCTGCAGGAGGATCTGGAAGGAAGAGCACAAAGATCACTGTGAAGAGACCAGAGGAGCTGGCGAACTTGCCTCTCCTTGCTCCTTGTATCCTGCCAGCCTCCCCACTGGCCTGACCAGGCCCTTATACCCCAGTTTCCCCAAAGACCCCAAACTGAAGATTCTGCAGGTCTGCCCTATTGCTGGGCACAGCAGGGCCTGGATGGAGGCCTATCTTCTGCAGCTGCCTCAAAGGCTGCTCCTGCTGGGGGCAGCTGCCCTGACTGTATCTGCTCTGGAGACCGGTGAGTCTAAAGGGACTTGGCTGGGGTGGGCAGGAGATTCGGGCCCCACCACCCCTAGAGACCGTTTCCTCAATCAGCACTCACCCTGATGGGCTGAGACCCCTTGAGTTGGGGGAGGCTGGGAGAAACCCTGTGCCTAGTCTTGCCTGGCTCCCCCAAGTCTACCCAAACCCCTCTGGAAGACTGGAGCTCCAAGTCACCCAGAAGCAGGAGTCTGGAATGGGGGGGAGAGCCCTCAGATCTGGCAGTGCAAACACTGTGGGCTTCGGAGTCGGACAGCCCTGCATTCACACACTCACTCTGCTTCTTCCTGCATTTCTACCATTGAGATCATTGTTTCAACTCTCCAAGTCTCAAGTTCTTCAGTAGTAAAAGGGGAATCATAATAGACCCTTGCCCCTTAAGAGAACTTATCGTGCATACAAGATGAGATAAACCACCCGGCCGGTGTGGTCAGTAGTTGAGTGTCCACCCATGAACCTGGAGGTCAAGGTTCAATTCCCAGCCTGGGGACATGCCTGGGTTTCGGGCTCCATCCCCAGTAAGGGGGGATGCAGGAAGCAGCTAATCAATGATCCTCTCATCATTGATGTTTCTCTCCCCCTCTCCCTTCCTCTCTCTGAAATTAAAAAACAAAACAAAACAAAAACATTAAAAAAAAAAAAAAAAGGTGAGATAAACCATGCAAGACACTTAGGCATCCTGGCCCATTGAAGGTGCTTAATTCACCAGCTCTACACCTCAACCTCCACACTGGCAATGCTGCTCCCTCCTGGCTGAGGTTAAATCAGGTTCTTTTAGCAAGGAGGGCAAAAGGCTGGGTGGGCAGGTGACCAACTGTGTCTACCCCATCCTTAATTAAGGCAGCAAGAGCTTGTACTGCTCTCACGCTCGTTAAATGCCATGTACCGTCTTAAGCACTGAACACATACATGTCCACAGTCCTAACTCCAAAATACAAAAAGCCGTGGAAACCAAAATTTGTTCTTAACTAATTTACTGGCAACACCTGACCTGAACTGACAGGAGGCTTTTATTTGTCCCGCTTGGGGGTAAATGTTCTTACAATTGCTCTGGAAAGTGTGATCATGGAGGGCTTGCTCCTATGGAAAATAATACAATAATTAAATAATAATGCAAGAGTAAACTCTGTTTTGTGTACTCACTGTAAACCTACTTTTGCCCCACCCTGTATATGCATCTAATCTAAAACCTGGAAAATTCTGAAACACACTCCAGGGGTTTTGAATAAGACGTTGAGGGCGTAAATTACATTTTTTAACCCTCACAAAATTCTGAGATTGCTTGTTCCTCTCCATTTTCCCGATGAGGAACCGGGCTCAGAGAGGGTGAGTGACTGACTCTGGGTCACCCAGCGCGGGAGGCAGAGCCAGTCCCGGAGCTAGCCTCAGGGCCGTGCGTTTCCCCGCAGCCGACCTGGTGGACCTGTGCGGGCGGACGTGGCAGGGGGACGGGCTGCTGCTGCGCTCGCACCCGGCGTCCCGCAGGCTCTACTTCGTGGCCCCGGACACCGACTGGCGCTCTGGGCGCGGGCGGCGGCCCCCGGCGACAGGATCCGCTTCCAGTTCCGCTTCTTCCTGGTCTACAGCCTGCCCTCGGGGTCGCCGGCATCCCCCGCACCCCAGGCCTCCACCCAAGGGCCTGCCGACGCCTGCGCCCCCGGCTCCTACCTGCAGTTCTACGAGGGTCCCCCGGGAGCGCCCCGGCCCCTGGGCGCCCCTCTCTGCGGCCTCACCATTCCTGCCCCGGTGGTGTCCACTGGGGACTTCCTGGGCCTGCGCCTGGTCACCAGAGGTCGCCAGCCCCACGTGGACTTCGTGGGAGAAGTCACCTCTTTCCGGTTGGGTAGGTCACGGGGGCCTCCAAGGTGGGGGTAACTGCGGGCCTGGGGCGCCAATAGGGCACTGGACGGATGGAAGGGATTGGGTCCTAACCGAGAGAAGGAGGCGGTGAGGGGTGGCAGGGTTGGGGGTGGTCACAGTAAGGGGCATTCCAGACCCAAAGAACCAACCCCATAAATCTGGCTTCCATGGCTGCGTATATCAGACACACACACTCCCTCACACCACCTCGGACTAACACCCACCCACTCACACACGCTGTACATGTACACAGCTCACACCTCCTACATGTATACTCACAACTCCACACTTGCACACCGGCACTGCAATACACAACCCACACCTCACACCTGCACTCACACACGCAGTTCACATTGCACACACCTCATACACCCACAGTACCACCTTGCACACTTCCATATCGCTCACACACGCTCATGTTCACACACGCTCTCCTCTGTCCCGGGCCAGCCCTTCGGATGATTGCAGAGGGGCCTAGTGAGGACTTGCATAACTAAGACAGAAACCCACTCGCGCAAAGAAAGGGAAATGACGTTAATGCCGGTCACTTACTAAGCATGGCCTTGGCCCGTTGCATGCCAGATCTCGGTTCCTCACAGCAGCTCTGCTGGGCCAGTGTCCTCGTCATATGTACAGATGGGAGACAGGCCCAGGGCGGTTAAGTAAAGCAGGCCTCCCTGCTCACAAGAGAAGCTGCAGGGTTTTCACTGCTAGAGTATGTCCTCTCGCTCAAATAGAGTTCAGGGCTTTAGCACCAGCAGTTTCCCCCAGGACTGGAGACACAACTCACTCATGTCACAGCCAGTGTCACAGCAGAGGCTGTGTCCAGTGATGGAGAGCAGATGAGCTGCTAAAGTCTAGAAGATTCTAAAACCATGGAGCTTTATCGCCGTCTTGGGCTGAAAATCCAGGCTGGAGAATTAAACATGGGATGTGATTGTGAGCACTTCGAGGCGAGAACATGGGGGCTCTGAGAGCCAACAGAGGTTCACCAAGGACTAAACCTTGGAATGCCTGGGAGGAACTATATGAAATGTGTATCCTAAATCCTTGAGGCCATGACCCATGGTGCCCAGGGTCCCTTTCTGGCTCCTGCAGGTTCCTATGATATTGTTTTGCAAACAGCTCTCACTGGCTAATTAGAAATCAACCCCTCCTTTCCTCCTTGCCTCTGCTTTTCCCTTCTTCCATTTCTCCCAGTGGCCTTCTAGCCAGGGAGGCCAAAGATGTTGCTGCTGCTCTGTGTTTGGCAGGATTAGGCTCCAAAAAGAAGGTGGTAGTGGGGAAGCTCTTTCACAATTCTGGCTTCCTTGGATCGGTTTTGTCATTTGAATGAAGAAGGCTCATTTCACATCCTTGGCTACATGCACAGTCTCAATCGCTCACACCTGCAAGCACGCCCTGCCCGGCTCATGCACACACCCTTACGTTTACAGTCACATTTGGCTCCCCATACATGACCACACTACTGTTTTCTCTCTCATAGACATCTACTCTTACACCTAAACACCTATATATTAGATTATGCACTTTAGTTGGCAAACGAAAGAAACCCAACTCAAGTTGGCTTATGCCAAAGGAGAACTTGGGGGGTCTCCTATAACTGGGGTATTAATGTGTGATTCAGGTATAGCTGGATCCAGGAGTTCAAGTAATGCCACCTGGGCTCTATCTCTTTGTTCTCTCCCTCTCTCTGCATCGTGTGGGCCTGTTTGGCTTCCATCTCAGACAGCTTCTCTTTCTACTTGGCAACAAGGTGACCCTGCAGCTCCAAGTCCACAATCACCCACGCAGCTCTAACCTCAATGAAATAGAGAGCAAGCATCTTTTTTATGGTTCTAGCAAAAGTCCCAAAGTCAAATCTGGTTTGTCATGGCCAGGAGAGGGAATGCCAGGCCCACCTCTGAGCCATGGTGTCGGGCAGTCCCACCTGAGCCAGCTTTTCTCCACAGAACGGGATGCTGGGTGAGCCAACCTGTCACAGCCTTGCGCTGAGTCACCCAATTCTTTCACCTGTGTGCAGATTAATTGAACAAATATTGAGCACCTGCAATGTGTCAGGTGCTACTCTAGGCTCTAGGGATCCAGCAATGAACAAAAGAGAAGCCCCTGCCCCCTCTGAGCTGACATTTTGGTGGGGGAAACAGACTAAAAGCAAATAGTGAAGTAAATCCTTGTTTTGCCCAGTCCCCCACGTGCTGCAGAGGGACTCAAATCAGGAGCAGGAGGGTGGGAGTCCTGGGGGAGGGGCGGTGTGTGGTTCTCCCACGGATGCTAGGGCAGGGTCACCAAGGTAGCGTTTGAGTGGAGACCTGAAGGGAGCCGTGCGTGACTCTGGGAGGAGAATGTCAGGGGGAGCTGACGGCCAGAGCAACGCCATGAGCGAGGGTTTGCTTGGAGGTGTTCAAGTTCCCTGGGATACTGGAGGCTGTGTGCACGCACACACGCGGACACATGGTCACACCCTGCTTGCCACAGTGTTTATGAGCATGGGACTGAATTCCTACTCTGCTACTTAGATGTGAGCTCTGTGGCCTTGACCAAGTGACCTAACCTCCCCATGCCTCAGTTTTCTCATCTCAAATGGGGTTAATAGCAGCATTTATCCCATAGGGTTATTGTGAGAACTTAGTGAGCTGGGATGTGAATGCAAGAAGTGTTTAGAACCATGCCCCACAAGGAACAGGAACTCAGTGTTAGCTGCCATCATCATCATCATGATTGTGCACGTCTCCCATGAAATTCTCATTCTCTCATCTGCATGCACATGGAAACAGCCTTCTCTCACCTTCCCCATTCCCTCACTATAGGACTGCACATCCTGCTATGTTAGGGGCTGGCCCAAGGTCCTCATAACATGCCTTCCCTTTTGGCCCTAGGTTTTTGTGGCCCCTACTTCCACTGTCAGAACGGCAGGTGCATCCCCCCAAGCCTGGTGTGCGATCTCTGGGGCATGGACAACTGTGGCGACCGCAGTGACCAGGCTTCCTGGCCACCAGCCAACTGCGGAGGTCAGTGACGGGTGCATCCTGGGCCCTGCTGAGCAGCTAGGAGGGATGCTGGGGCCCAGCTCCCCTTCCCCAGGGCAGGGTGTCAGTGGGGAGGCCGGAGGTAGGGGCATGGCGGGAGTGAACGGTGGGAATCGCTTTAGACCAGAGTATCTGAGGCTCAGAGCAAGTTAAAGCCAGAATGACGCTAGAGATGATCTAATGCAGCTGCTTTCAAGTGATATTTTAGTGGTGGAAGCTTTTCCTAAATGGGAACTTGCACAGAGGCCCAAGACATCAAAAGGAGAGGTGCTCTATTTAAGTGGACTTGGGGGACTCCATGTCCCATTGAGGAATCTTTGACTCTCAAGACTGACTTTGAAAACCATTGATGCAGTCTGACTCACACATTTTACAGATGGGGAAACAGGCTCAGGGAGGAGAAATGCCTATGGCCCAAGGTCATAGTCAGTGAGTGACATAACTAGGAATGACCTCTGAGCACAGAGAGACCAGGAATATCCTTCTAGGAATCTGGAGATGAACCTTCCCCCCAACACGGCCGGCACATACTGTTGAACAAGTTGTTTACTGCAAAAAAGCACCTGGCAGAGGGGTGAGATCCAGCTTCCCAGGCCCCCCCACACTGACCTACCAAGCCACTCAGTCTCCGTGGCAGGTTTCTAGCTGTTCCCTGACCCCGTCCCTGCAGCCCCTCGTCCCTGGTGGTCTCCTTTGTAATGCACAGCCACCTGGAACGTCTTTGAACTCCATAGCCACCTCCCCGCTCATCTCCATGTGGATGTGTAGGCGGCATCTCAAACTTAACTTGGCCCAGAACTGAACTCCTGATCCACAGCTGTCATGGGCCACCCTTTATTGCTTTTTGCAGCTCATAACCAAGCCACTGGTGTCAGTTTGTCCGGTATTTTTCTCAGGGTGAGACTGGAGTTGGGGGTCATTAGGAGAAAGACTACAGGGGTAACGTGTCGTTTTCATCACATGTGAAAGGTACATACCACCAAGCTGACTCATGACTATGGATGTTGGCCTTGAGCCTGGTTGAGGTCGTGCTTCTCCACTGTTCCTTTCTGCCCACTTTCCATACCGTCCTCTTTGGGAGGAAGTCACTGTGCACGGCCGACACATAAGGAGCGGGGAGTTAAACTCCCTGGCCAGAGGAGCCACCTAAGACACTCAGTCAGATCATGTCACTCCCACGCTCAGAACCCTCTGTGCTCCTCACTCAAAGACAAAGCAGAGCTTCCCAGGGGCCCATCTACCCTCTTGCTCCCTTGGCTCCTCCACACTGATCCCTAGCAGCTCCTCCCACACTTGTCTTGTCCTGCCTCCAGTCTCAAAACTAGCTCCCTCCTCTGCCTGGAAGGTGTTTCCCCAGAGATTTTCATGTTCATTCCTTTGCCTCCTATGGGTCTCTGCTTAACCCTTACTCTTAGTGAGCTCTCTCCTCAACTCTTTAAAAAAAAGCAACGATGTGTCCATGGATGGGTGAATGGATAAACAAAATGTGATATGGCGCCTGGCCAGGAGTGGCTCAGCGGTTGAGCACCGACCTAGGATCCAGGAGATCGGGGTTCGATTCCCGGTCATGGCACATGCCCAGGTGTGGGCTCCATCCTTAGTTGGGGGCGTGCAGGAGGCAGCCGATCAATGACTCTCTCATCGTTGATGTTTCTTTCTCTCTCCCCCTCTCTTTTCCCCTCTCTGAAATCAATAAAGATATATTTAAAAAACAAACAAAAAACCCAAAATGTGATATGGCCACACAATGGAATATTATTCAGCCCTAAAAGGGAAATTCGGACACATGCTATAACGTGGGTGAAAGCTTAAAGACATCCTTAATTGAAATAAGCTACACAGAAAAGGACGAGTGCTGTGTATGATTCCACTTACACGAAACCTGGAATAGTCAGAATCAGAGACTAAGTAGAATAGGGGGAGATAATGGGGAGTTAGTGTTTAGTGGGGACAGAGTTTCAGTTTTGCAAGATGGAGATCTGGAGATGGATGGTGGCGATGGCTGCACAGCCATGTGAATGTGCTTAATGCCAAGGGACTATGCACTTAAAAAAACGGTCAATGGTTTATTGTGGTTTATTTTACCTCCAAAAAAAAAAAGCAACCCTGCTCCTATCCAACATGCCCTGGCCCTTTTCCCTGCTTAATTTTATCTCCGCTTGACAGAATTTCTTTTGTGTCCTCTCACACCAAACTGCCAGTTCCACGAAGACATTTTTGTCTATTTTGCTCACTGTTGTATCCCCCAGTCCCTAGAGCAATGCCTGGGTATAGCAGATGCTTGAAAAATATGTCAAATGAGTAGAGGAACGAACCTCTCTCTGCCTCAGCTTCCTTATCTGTAAAATGGGGTGATAAACCTCACTTTTCAGAGTTGTTACGAACTTTAAGTGAAACACAGTAGGGAAAGGGCCCAGCACTGAGCACGGCGTTTGATGCACAGAACACACTCAATATGCGCACATCCGCCTTCCTGAGAAGTCTCTCCATTCATAAACCCCAGGCCCTGGAGCTAGACTGCATGAGTTCGAGTCCTCCCCTATCACGTCCAGCTGTGTGACCTGGGCAAGTGATTTAACCTCACTTCCCTGACTGATTGCAACAAACCTCAGAGAGGTTTGGGGAGAATTAAATGAGACATAGTCATGCCTTAGAAGGGGCGGTTCTCAGTGTTAGCTCTGCTATTTCCCACTGCAGGTCCCTCTCTGATGCCCAGCCAGGAGCGGAGTACGGAAGCCGATACCACCAAGCCCCTGACTGTCTCCCCAGCTCTCAGGTCAGCAGGCCCCCTCCAGACTGCAGCTGGGAGCAGTCCCCCAGCAGGCCAGGGCCCTGCACAAGAGGATGCATCTCCAGAAGGTAGATGGCTCTTGTTACCACCTGCTCTCAGTCCTCCCAACAAGATCACACTTGTCTCTCTTCAGGTGATGGGAACCAGACAGCAGACCCAGGCTGAGGCCTGAGTGGACTCTCCCTTTCCTTCCCCAGGTCCCGGGCTACAGAAGGTGGCACTGGCTTCCTCGCTGCTCCTAGCCTCTGCTGGCCTCCTCATTGGCCTCCTCTGGTGCTGTTGCTCCTCCAGCCAGCCAGCCTGGAGGGCTGGTGCCCATGGCCTCTGCCTTAGCTGCACCATCTGTCACACATGTCCTGGCCAGGTGGCCCCTGGGAGGCTGCAGCCAAGCAGGCCAGCCTTCCAGGGTCAGGGAGGCCATCAATAGAGAGGTGGCATCAGAGGAAGGAGAGTGGGCTCTGGGGTCAGATAGACCTTGGGTTCTGTCCCCATCCCCCAGAGGGCTGTCTGACCTTGGGCAGGTCATATAACCCTCTGAGACTCAGTCTGCTCCACTGGAAAGTGGGATGTTCTCTGCCTCACAGGATTGTGGGGAGGGCCACAGGAGGTAACTGGCCCTGTACCTTGCGTGGTGGCTGGCACTGTGCTGGACCTCCATGCCCAGGGCAGGGAGCAGGGGCCTCATTCACTCGAAGCTGCCTTGATTCCCCCCCAGACCTCACCTGCCCTTTGCCCCACCCTCAGGTTCCACAATCAAGCCCTTGTCAAAGACACAGGGGACTGCCCTGGCGGGGATAGCACCATTTATTAAGAAAGATCAAGACAAAGACCACAGGAGGGTCCCTTCTGGACACAGAAACCCAACATCTGGGGGTTGCTGGTGCGGAGGGTGCTTGCCCCCAGTTGGGCCCTCAGGTTCCCAGGTGGGGCAGGGCTGTCATGGCCCCTTCCTGTCTCGCTGTAATGAGTCCTCGCTTCCCCCAACCAAGGCACTAGCTCTTTCCAACCACTGACACCCTTATCCCCTCATGCCTCTGGGGCCTTCACTTCCAGATCAGTGGGGGGTGTGGCAGAGACTCTCTCAGTGCTGGGCTCTGCCTTTAGCAGCTCCTGGTAAGAGCTGGGGTGGTTTCCCTTGTAGCCCCTGAAGGCAGGGGCTCTGGGCTAGGTGTTGGGTGGGGGAATGCAGACCAGCTGGGCAGGCAAAGGTGAAGGTGGAGGGGGGCTGGGACAGGGGCTAACGGGTGGGGGCTGCCTGTCCAATGGTGAGCTGCCTTTTGCTCCACAGTTGGCACTAAAGAGCTTTTGCTACCCAGGCGAGGGTGGCAAAAGCCATTGCGACGCCCTTTGCTCCTAGTGGCTGGTGAGGACCCAGGCTGTACGCTGAGGTTGGGACAAGGGCTGCCCGAGGGCTGTAGAAACGGGCGGCCTACCTCTGGCATGGAGGCTCTGCTGGTGGGGGCACTTCTGAGGCCACTCAGCCACCATGCCTGCCCTTCTGAGGCACCTGCTCCATCCAGCCTGCCCTGTTCCCCAGCCTGCAGCTTTGCCCAGGTGTGTTGTCTGCGAGGTGGCATGTCTACCCTCCAGTCCAGCCCAGGGCAGTAGCAGCAAAGCGTGGCATCGCCTCAGTTTCTTACAAAATATTCATAATAATAATATTAATAATAATAGACTCGATGTTGTGGGGCTGGGGTGCTGCCCAGGAGTCCTTGTGGGCAGGCAGCTGCCTACGAGGGGCAGGGACGCGTGTTGGCCCCCGCCTGGGCGCTGTGCTGCAGGTCCAGTGGCTGTGGGGGAGGGGCGCCGGGGCCAGCAGAGTGCAGCACCAGATTCCGGAGACAGCCTGTGATGCCCGAGGAGAACCTGCCCCCGGTCCGTGTGGCCACGTTGGGGGCTCCGCCTGTGGGAGGGGAGAGGACAAGATCTGTCAGCTCCAGGGGCCCAAAGGACAGGAAGGCATGTGCTGTAGCTCTGTGGGAGCCCCATTCTTGTGCCGAGGTCTGAGCCCAGGACTTACCGATGTAGATGCTGCCCTTGGTATTGACCGCCACATTCGGGCCTGGGGACTGGCCGCTGACCAGCTCCTCACCATCCACCTGGATGGAACCTCTCCGGCCCTCTCTGTGGTGGGTAGAACTGGGTCAGGGCCTTCACCACCAATTCTGCATGCTCCCTGACCCAAGACGAATCCCTTCCCTTCTCCACAAAGACTCCCCAAGTCCATCCTTCCCCACTGGATGAGAGATCTGACCCCCCCCCC